AGGCAGGGAGTCACTCCCCAATTTTCCCTCGGCAGGTGCTTTGCCGTCCCGGGGCCCTGTCACCAAGTACCACACACCTTGGGGCCGAAACAACAGAAATCTGGCTCCCGGCCTGGAGGCTGGAGTCCGAGATGTTGGCCAGCTCTGCTCCCTCTGGGGGCTTCAGGGGTGAATCTTCCCTCGTCTCCTCCACCTGCTGGTGGCGGCCGGCATGCCTTGGCTTGTGGCCACGCACCCCCAGCTCTGCCTGTCTCCCTCTGCGTGTCGGCGTCTCCTCTGGCTGGATTTGGGGCCCTGATCCACCCTGATCCAGGAGGATCTCATTGTGAGAGCCTTCGTCACACTGCGAAGACCCCTCTCCCCGATATGGTCACTCACGGGTTCGGGGTTAGGATGTAGAGGATCTGTCTTGGGGGGACACTCGTCTACGATGGCGGGCATTTATGGTGTCCTGCTCAGCTCCTAAAGTTTGAGACAGACGTAGAAATTATGCTTCAGGCCAGTCTCGCCTCCCAGGGAGGATTCCGGGGGAACCAGGAAGGCCCCCGATTTGGGGGGAAGCACATTTATGGAACCAGAGTTTCCATCCCAAAGTCACCTCAGAAGAGCACGGCCGCTGGCTGTCACCTGGGCGTGGGCCCCGATTTCACAGCCGCCTCGGCCTGCGAGGTCGGGGATATGGCTCCAAGGTGCACGGTCAGGAGCTTACGGTGGGGGGCGCACCCCCCCTTCCCCTATCTGTCCATCACGACCACAGCAGGGACTTATTCTAGATCATTCCAGCCCGGGATCCTTTTGGGCAGCTCTCTCGGACTACAGGCCACATGGGCCGTGAGAGCAGACGGAGGAGTGTCGTGACTAGACGTCTCGGATTTCCTCTTGAGTTGCTGTGCCGACGGTCGCCATGGGTCAGGGAGGAGCAGAAGGAAAGTCCCCCATGTCCATGTTTGGCCGCCTCAGAGCAGAGGCAGGAGGCGGGAGAGAAATCCGTGCTCTGTCCACCACGTGGGTCCTGATCTAAACTCGGAATGACCTGGCTTCCGTGTGCCCGGCTTTAAGATGGTGACGGATGGGTCTTACGAACGTTGCCTGGAAACCAGGAAGAATGAAGTGTCCGGTCATACTCCTGGGGCTTGGCAAACGCTGCCAGGAGAGGGTTTCCCAGCGGAAGCAATGCGCGTTCCTCTGGGAGAAGGCACGGCCTCTGGGAAACCCACCGGTGGGACCTCAGTCTGGTCATGTCACATCTTTTGGGGCCATAAGCAAATTGGTTAATTAGGTCTCCCCTGATTGGCCCACCCCAGCCCCATATGTAGCTACACAGGACCTTCTGGAAGCTGCTGGCCCCTCCTCCCACAATGGCCACTCGGAGGAACGGGAGCTGAGTGCCTGGCCAAGGTCACAGTCAGGCAGGTTTCTGCCCCTTGTCTTTACTTCACGTCTCCATCCCTACACCTTCCTGTGATGTCACACCTTCCCCGTGATGTCACACCTTCCCATTAGCCAGCAGGTCGTGGCTGCGAACACTCCATCATGGCTTTGCCCTCTTCCCGCCGTGGCCCCGAATGACAAGCAGGGCTGCAGGGGACTCATTGGGGTCCAGTCCTTGTGCACAATTCACGATTCCCGTGGGGTCGGTGCCCAGAAGGGAAGTCGGGGCATCCGTTTCCCAGAAGCACCTGCTTTCCAGAAGGTCGACAGTTCCCGCTTCCGTCATGTGACGGTGCCCCTCCCCGTGGATCAGCAGCATCGCCCGCGGCTGTCTCCCGTGATGTGAAAGTCACGTGTTCATGCCTGCCGGTGGTTTGCAGGGTGTTTACAGGGCGCCGCTGCCGCCTGTGTCTAATTCCAGGACTTTCCCCCTCACCCCGGCCCCCTCGTCCTCCAGCCCGGCCCCCGCTCGCCTGCTTTCCGCCCCCACGGTGTCCCTGTTCCGGAATTTCCATCGCTGGAATCATGCCATATTGTTCCTCTTTCCATGCCTGTCGGTTGGGTGGCTGCATCCAGCCACGAGTTAAAGCAGCGGAAACGTGGCTGCCAGTTGTGTGTGGTCTCTGGCGGCTGTTTGTTCGTGTCCTTCGCGCGCGTTGCTGCGAGGGTCTCGGTGTCTCCGTCCGTCTGGCTGAGCTCGCCCTCCACTGAGCTGGTCACGCCCTGACTCACGTGGCAGCAGGTTTCTGCCCAGAACGTCTCACTGCAGGTGTGAGAATGGCCGTCAGGTCCCCCAGCGCCGAGGCCACGGGGGCCCAGGGGGGCCGGGCGGAGAGGGCGGGGCTCTGCCTGGCGGTACCGGGGGTTGAATTTCTGTGTCTGTGAATCTCGGGGGTGGGGGGTCCCCCAGCACCAGCTACTGCAGTCAGAGGCAGCTCGGTTGATGGGAAGAAAACATACGGCGACCGAGAAACAGTGTCACTGAATGCACAGGGTTCTGGGCGCAGCAGTGGACAGCAGGTGGACACTTAGTTGAATCACGTAACTGACTATCTTGTTTAAATAACTACATCACTCGCCGAAACCGGTTTGGCTCAGTGGATAGAGCATCAGCCTGTGGACTGAAAGGTCATAGGTTCGATTCCGGTCAGGGGCATTTACCTGGGTTGGTGTTACAGGGTTGGGGTTATAACATACTAGTAATTGTGGCGTTTGGAAATGTGAAAGGCAGACCCAGTGTTGTCACTCTGCCAGGGGAGATGCTGACGGGGCTCTTTGATGCCCAGTGAACGCAGTGGCTTTAAATTCGCGTTCTCAACAAGGGAGAGGAGAGAGCTCCTCCCACCCCTTGGAGTCATTGGCAGAAATCATGAGAGAGAGAGAGAGAGAAAGTGTGAGTGTATGTGTGAGAGAGAGAATGTGTGTGTGAGTGTGAGAGAGAGGGTGTAGGGTGTGTGCACAAGCATGCACCCTGCAGCAGGGAGAGCCGCCCTCTTTGTCAAGTTCCCCGAGGGCTCCTTGACCCCAGGCAGGTTGAGGGCCAGGGCTGTGGGTCACCCGGGGTCAGCGTCCCCACAGGCAGGGCTGCTAACGGTCCCTCGGGGCCCTGTCCCCTCTGCTTGCAGTGCTGGTGAAGGGCCAGGTCACCACCAAGTACTACCGGCTGCTCTCCAAGCTGGGCGGCTGGGTGTGGGTGCAGAGCTACGCCACCGTCGTGCACAACAGCCGCTCGTCCCGGCCCCACTGCATCGTGAGTGTCAATTATGTCCTCACGTAAGTCAGACGTATTTGTTTCTCTCCTTGCTCTCTCTCCTCCGGTCCCTCATCGACCGCTCCCATCAGCACCGTCTCTCTCTCTCTTTCTGGAACTTTCATTTGTCTCCTGTTTTGTTGGCATTTGAGCATCTGGTGGGTTGGGAAGGCCCCGACCATCTCAGTACTCAGCACCGAGGGCCAGGTGCTTGGGGACGGGGCCCAGCTCCGGGCCAGGAGTGGGAGGGTCTGAGCCCAGGTGAGAGTGGGGGTGGGCAGAGGGAGGGTGGGCTGCTCCCCATCCTGAACTGGAGGGAAGGGATGCAGGTTCCGGACCCGACATACATGCTGACCCTCCCATGCCCACACGGCTGGGTCCGGTGCCTGCCCCTGTCCCTGCCCCTGCCATTTGGGACGGGGATAGCTCCACTCCCCCTCTTCCTATATAGCCTATTGTGAATGATGGCAAAGATGTGGTCCCTTTTAAGCCCCAGGAGGTCAAGTTCTGTGACAAATACTTTTAAGACCATTAGGAGGAGCAGGACCTAAGTCTACCTGGGACCATATATTACCCCCGCCCCCCACGCCCTGTGCTATGGTATGTTCTCACCGGGCACCTGGCTCTACCCGGGACTTGCTGGCCGTGTGCCCCCCGCCCGCTCTGAGCAGGTCCCTCCAGCTGCTCTGAGGCAGTGAGATTCAGGCGCCGTGTTCTCTCAGGGGACGATAGGGCGCTGGGGTCTCGTGTTTTTATTAGAAACAGAATGATTTTAGCAAACCTGTAGGGACGAGAGCATTTTAGCCCCTAAACACTTTATGAGCAAATAGATGTGGCAGGGCCAGTAGTGTGGGCGGCCTCCCCTCCATGGGCACGAGGGCACTGAGGTGGCTCCTTGGGGCAAAAATGGGCCCCTGGACCCTCTAGGTACCCACCCAGGCCTCCCTGGGGGCTCACGAGGCGGCGGGGCCACCGGTGCTCGGAGACAGCGCCCACGGTCCCCAGGCCGTGTGTTTGGGGTCCTGTGGGATTGAAGAGAGCTGCACCCCGCTATTTCTGCCGAATAACACTGTCCACACTCAGCATTTCTGGGGGCGCTGCACCAGGGCTGCGGGGTGGCTTTTATAACGAGGGGGCCTGCCCTTTTCTCCAATCCCGCCCACACCGGCCTCTGAAATGGCCCCAGGAGCCTTGAGGGCGACCCCGCTGGGCGGTGCCGGGAGCCCCCCGCCCGCCCGGCCGGCCGGACACGCCTGCCCCTCTTGCCTCGCAGGGACATTGAGTACAAGGAGCTGCAGCTGTCCCTGGACCAGGTGTCCACGGCCAAGTCCCAGGACTCCTGGAGGACCGCCCTGTCTACCTCACAAGAAACTAGGAAGTTAGCCAAACCCAAAACCACGAAGATGAAGACGAAGCTGAGAACAAACCCTTACCCCCCGCAGGTAACACACGGGCCGGGTGGGCGTTTTGGGGAACGGCCCACACTCACGGCCTAGCGGGGTCTCCCTGCCCGCAGCGTCCCGCTCGATGGGGACACAGGTGAGGTGTGCAGGCCTGGCCTGGTGGCCTGGTCAGGGCCCCCTGGGCAGGCGCAGAGTCCACGGAGAGGTGGGTCCCAGTCCCGGCGCACTGTTTCCATGGCATTTTAAAAAACAACACTTTTTCTTTTTAAAATATATTTTCATTGATTTCAGAGAGGAAGGGAGAGGGAAGATAGGAACATCAGTGATGAGAGAGAATCAGGGATCGGTTGCCTCCTGCGCCTCCCACGCTGGGGATCAAGCCCACAAACGGGGCACATGCCCTGACCGGGAATCGAACCATGACCTCGTGGGTCATAGGTCGACGCTCAATCCCTGAGCCATGCCAGCCGGCTCCTCTTTCTTTTTTCTGTGGTTTGTGAGCTCTTAGAACTGGCAGGTGCCCTTGTGTGTGGTGCCGCCGGCTTGGGGAGAGGAGATGTTGTACCGGGGGAGGGTCCCTGGGGTGCTGTCTGCTGGGCACCTGTCCCAGTGGGACCTCGCGGTGGTGGCCGGAGGGTCCAGCCCTGGGAGGGGTAGGGCTCTGGGCTCAGGAGGCCCCTTCACCCCGTCCTGTGCCCCACAGCAGTTCAGCCCGTTCCCGATGGACAGACTGGAATGCGGCCAGCTGGCAAACTGGAGGGCCAGCCCCCCCACGGACACCGCGGCCCCCCCAGAGCAGCAGCTGCACCCCGAAGGCAGCGACCTCCTGTACACCCCGCCCTACAGCCTGCCCTTCTCCTACCGCTACGGACACTGCCCCCTGGACCCCCACGTCTTCAGCAGCAAAAAGCCCGTGCTGCCGGCCAAATTCGGGCCCCAAGGGTCCCCGTGCGAGGTGGCGCGCTTTTTCCTGAGCGCGCTGCCAGCAGGAGGCGAGTGCCAGTGGCACTATGCCAACCCCCTGGTGCCTGGCAGCTCATCTCCAGCTAAAAACCTCTCTGAGCCACCGGTGAACACTGCCCGGCACAGTCTGGTGCCGAACTACGAAGGTGGGTCCCGTGGGCACGAGGGGCGGGGGCGGGGCTGTGGACTGCGGTGGTGGCGGTGGGTGGCGGGTGGAGAAGGACCCTCACAGTTTGGGCACACTTCCCCTTTTTCTACTTCTAAGTAGGGATCGCTGCGCTTTCCTGCTCTCAATGCCAGCGCCTCCTGTGAGAGGCTAAAGCCGGGTGACTGGTCCGTGTGCTCAGAGGCACCGGTGACAGTATAAAGGGCGCAGGAACCCGGATCAGCCGCCCCTGACATCCTGGCCTCTGCTTCCTCCGAGGGAGACGAAGTGATTTTCAAAGGCAGCTTTCACGTCCTGAGAAGGGCTCAGCTGCACGCATTTTACTTTGTAAAAATACATTTTTTTATTGATGTCAGAGGGGAAGGCAGAGAGAGAGAGAGATAGAAACATCAATGATAAGAGAGAATCATTGATCGGCTGCCTCCTGCATGCTCCACTCTGGAGATTGAGCCTGCAACCTGGGCATGTGCCCTGACCGGGAATTGAACTGTGATCTCCTGGTTCATAGGTCGATGCTCAACCACTGAGCCACGCCAGCCAGGCTGCATGTATTTTATAAGTTCACTAGAGGCCCGATGCACGAAATTTGTGCAAGAGTAGGCCTCCCTTCCCCCAGCTGCCGGCACTGGCTTCCCTCTGCCCCGGCTTCATCCGGAAGGATATCTGGTCTACTTAGCATATTGTCCTTTTATTATATAGATGCTCTGCTCCAGCCAAAAACGAATAGAGGAGACTTGGTTTTCTTCCCATGCCAGTTTTCACAGTGCAGCAAACAGCAGTGGAAATTCAGGGCTCAGGGACAGAAATGTCACTCACCAACCCCTCCCCATCCAGGACCCAGTTTCTGTAACTGGGCTCCTAAGCTGTGGGACATGCTTACCCTGGGGTTCAGCACACAGTAGGTGCTTGTCCTGCACACACTAGTTCCACAACAGAGAGACAGGAATGGTCGCTCAGCCAGCTCCTCCTGGTGGCCGACAAGCAGAAAAAGGTCCCCCGTGGAGGTGCCACCCGCTGCCCTGGGCCCAGCAGACTCCTGTTTGCTCACTGGGCCCACCCCAGGCGGAAGGTAGGAGATGGGTTGAGGACTGGCTGCAGGAGGTATTTCCTTTGCACCCTGACCTGGCTACTGTGCAAAATACAGACCAAGGTGGTGCAAACGCCCTGCGGGGGCCACTGGACACAGAAAAGGATCCCGTGCTCAGAGAGGATGGCCCCTGGGGCTCCCTCCCCCACCATCCTCTGTTTTTTTAAATGTTTTTTATTGATTTTTAGAGAGAGAGGAAGGGAGAGGGAGAGAGAGATAGAAACATCAATGATGAGAAAGAATCATGGATCGGCTGCCTCCTGCACGCCCCACACTGGGGATCAAGCCAGCAACCTGGGCCTGTGCCCTGACTGGGAATCGAACTGTGACCTCCTGGTTCATAGGTTGATGCTCAACCACTGAGCCACGCCAGCCGGGCCCCATCGTCCCCTCTGGAGGCAGGTAGGGCTCGGTCCTCCTCCTGCTGCTCGGGCAGCTCTCAGCCTGTGCCCTGACCCTCATTCCAGGCTGCGAAGGGCCTAGGAGAACTCGAACTTCAGAGATGCCCAGGACGTGTTTTTCAGAAGTAACCGATTTTAGAAAAAACACCCAGCCGCGGGGGGCAGTACAGCCCTGCCTGTGGCCTGGGCCTGTCCCAGGCTTCTCAGATGTGGATCCCCAGTACCAGCTGGGCCCTCAGATAACCAAGGGTTCTGGGGCCTCCAAGGAAAGACAGACAGAACCAAGGGCTTCGGCAGCAGCTGAAAACATTGTCCACCTGAGTGGCTGAAAGAATTGCTTCTCCACGCATGCGTGTGCGTGGGCATCACCAGTGAGACAGCACTCAGGGCTTGGGTTTTTAAATGGCTATTTTGAAAGCGAGAGGTTAACAACCACCTCATTTATCAGCACTGGGTGTAACATAGGGCCCGGAGGTGCTCATTTGGGGCCATTTGTGGTCAACTTCCTGGTGTTTCCACATTGAAGAGACAAAGGTGGCCCCAAGGTGAAAGGCAGGAGGAGCCAGTTGGTGGCGAGCATCTGCTTAGGGGAGGTGGTTATTACATGAATCATGACAGCCCTGAAGGGAGCAGGGAGATTCTCACTCCTGTCCCCACTGAGGGATCAGCCAGAAAGGTGGGGCGACTGGGGCCTCTCCCCCAGGGCCGACCTCCAGACCAGCGCTGTCCAGCCTGGTAGCCATCGGCCACGGTGAGGTGGGCTGTCTGACCGCACTCAAACACGGGAACAAAAAATACTTTTATTTTTATAATCCTCATCCGGGGATAATTTTCCCATTGATTTTTAGAGAGAGTGGAAGAGAGAGGGACAGAAACATCTCACATGGGTTGGTTGCCTCCTGCACGTGCCCTGACCAGGGCCCCGGCAGGAAGGAGCCTGTAATGGAGGGATGTGCCCTTGACCGCAATCGAACCCGGGACCTTTTGGTCCACAGACTGAGGCTCTACCCACTGAGCAAAACCGGCCAGGGCACAAAGCATGGTTCGATCCCACCGTGAAATACTTGGGATATGTTGTATTGAATTAAGTATTAGTCATCTCACTTGCTTCTCTCCGCGCCTTAATGCGGCCACCGGAACATTGCAAATCGCATCTTAAGACTGGATGACGCGGGCCCGGGAGGCACCAGGCGCAGGGACTGCGGGTTGAGCGCGGGTGGCGAGGGGCGGAGGCGGCGCCTTAGGCATTGGCCCTGCTTCCCCCTCCGGGATGTC